ATCATAACCTGAGCCGAAGGCAGACGTTTAATGACTGAGCCACCCAGGTACCCCATAACATTGTATATTAACTATAATGGAATTGAGATTTAAAATTTAAAAAAAATAAAATGCTGACATTTTACAAAGTTTCAAAAAATGAGTTTTTTTCAAATGATGAAATTATTAGGTCTGTAATAAAGAAGCTTGTAATTCTCTGCAAGAAGAGAGATGTGATTTTTTTTTAAAAAGGAAAAAATGAGAGGGGTGCCTGGTTGGCTCAGTCAGTAGAGCATCTGACTCTTGATTTCAGGGTTGTGAGTTCAGGCATGGTGCTTACTTAAAAAAAAAAAATAAAAAGGAAACAATGAGAAGTTATTCAATATAAAGAGTTCTTGGTAGGTGTTCATATTTTATTTCTACTCTAGTTATTTGAAAGAGAAGGAAAAAGAAACATGGATTTAGAATTCATGTATCTGCTTCTGAACTTGATTATTTAATTTTATTATTTTCAGTTTCTATTATTTTTCATGTTGGGACATTATCTGATATTTTTTAGAAACACACTATCACAACTCTTGCTTTTTAGCCAAGTAGCAAAATTTTAATTCATTTCTGTATACCAGTACAGACACTACTAAAATTTATGGAGAGATTTGCTTAAAGTAATTGTAAAACAGAGATTAAAAAATCAGATTTGTTGGGGCGCCTGGGTGGCTCAGTGGGTTAAAGCCTCTGCCTTCAGCTCAGGTCATGATCCCAGGGTCCTAGGATCAAGCCCTGCATCGGGCTCTCTGCTCAGCAGGGAGCCTGCTTCCTCCTCCCTCTCTGCCTGCCTCTCTGCCTACTTGTGATCTGTCAAATAAATAAATAAATAAATCTTAAAAAAAAAAATCAGATTTGTTGGGGCGCCTGGATGGCTCAGTGGGTTAAAGCCTCTGCCTTCGGCTCAGGTCATGATTCCCAGGGTCCTGGGATGGAGCCCCACATTGGGCTCGCTGCTCATCAGGGATCCTGATTCCCTCGTCTCTCTCTCTGCCTGCCTCTCTGCCTACTTGTGATCTTTGTCTGTCAAATAAATAAAATCTTAAAAAAAAAAAAAACAAACATTTGATGTATCTTGGATCCACAGGAATAAATTAAGAAAAAGAGACCCATATTTCTCTTAATAGAAAGAATGGGGCCATTATTAAGGTAATACAGCATTCTATACTAATTACCATGAATGAGTGAAAATTTCCAATCTTGTGGGAGAATTAAATTACACAGAAAACCAACAGATAAAAAGAAATTTAAAGCAATACTGCTGCATCTAAAACCAGGCACCTGAAATATGGATATCAAATTTAGCTGAAATAACCTAAATTTTTGTTCATATAAATAAAAATACATTTTTTAAATGATAAAAATAACATTAAGCTGTGACTACCTGTATAAAATGCTGCTATACTATACAAAAGCTCTAAAGATTGTTATTAAGATTAAAGATGATAACTAAAATTTGCAATTTAGATTAACTATGTTTACTGCTCTTATAAATACAACTCAGAGCTAATACTGCCTTTTTAAAAAATGTTTTATTTATTTACTTGACAGAGAGAGGGATCACAAGTAGGCAGAGAGACAGGCAGAGAGATGGGGAAGCAGGCTCCCTGCTGAGCAGAGAGCCTGATGCAGGGCTCCATCCCAGGACCCTGGGATCATGACCTGAGCTGAAGGCAGAGGCTTAACCCACTGAGCCATCCAGGCGCCCCTAGATCTAGTAATTTCTGATAAATTCTCATGAACTAAAAATAACTTTAAAGCTCTATAGGACTTATACTACTAAATATCAAGATTTACTATAAGGCTATAATAATTAAGACATTATGGGATATGATGCATGGATAGAGAAACTAATTATACAGATTATAAAGTTCAGAAACAGATATATGCACATATAGTTATCTGATTTTAGAACAAAGGTGATCCTGCAATGCAGTGGGGAAAAAGGGGTCTTCTTAATAAATGATGCTGGATTAACTGGACATTCACATGTAAAAAAATAATTTTTGACAAAGAGCTTATGATTTCACTTTTATGTGGAACCAAACAACAACAACAATGAATAAAAAAGCAGTAAGAGACCTATAAATACAGAGAACAAATTGGTGGTTGCCAGAGGTGACAGTGGTTGAGGGAATGGGCAAAAAGGGGTAAAGGGGAGTGGGAGGCACAGGCTTCCAGTTATGGAATAAATAAGTCACAGGGTAAAAGGTATGGAGTACGGAATAATGTCAATGGTAGTGTAACAGTGCTGTGTAGTGACAAATGGTAGCTACACCTGGGATTAGCATAGTACCTACGGTGTTGTATCACTATGTTGTGTACCAGAAACTAACATAACACTGTGTCAACTATACTTCAATTAAAAAAAAGGGGCGCCTGGGTGGCTCAGGCAGTTAAGTGTCTGCCTTGGGCTCGGGTCATGATTTTAGGGTTCTGGGATTGAGTCCCGCATCATGCTCCCTGCAGAGTAGGGAGCCTGCTTCTCCCTCTCCCTCTGCCTGCCATTACCCCTGCTTGTGCACCCCCCCACCCGGGCCTTTGTCAAATAAATAAAGACAATTAAAAAAAAAAAATCTTCACTCCTATCTCACACCATAAACAAAAATCAACTCTAGTTGATATAAACAACCAAATGGAAAAGATCAAACAATAAAGCTTTGGGAAGAAAGCCCAAGAGAATTTCTTTATGACCTGGCTTGAGATAGACAAAGGTTTCTTACAGGACTCTAAAGTACCAACTATAAACGAAAAAACAGACAAACTGGATCACATTAGAATTAAGAACTTCTTATCAAAAAACATTACCAAAACAAAAAGCAAGCCATTAAGTAGAAGATTCCTATAAGACATATGTAAGGAAGAATACATATTCAGAACATACAAAGAATTTCTTCAAATCAATAATAAAAAGGCAGATAACCCCTTGGAAAAACAGGACTTGAATAATTTGACAGTTCATAAAGGAGAATAACCAAATGGCCATTTAACAACTGAAAAGGTGTTAATACCTCATTAGTTACCAAAGAATCTAAGTTAAAATCACAATGCAATACCATTACACAATTACCAGAAAAGCAAAAATTAAAGATGTAGAGTACTAAGTGCTGATGAGGTCAAGCTACTGGAGCCAGACACCACTGCTGGATATGTAAATTAGTCCAACCACTTTGGAAAACCAGTTAGCAGTAGCATACATTAATATTTCTTCATAAATACAGTGGAGTACTATAAATGTCTTTTCTCTTATGATTTTAATAACATTCTCTTGGGGCGCCTGGGTGGCTCAGTGGGTTAAGCCGCTGCCTTCGGCTCAGGTCATGATCTCAGAGTCCTGGGATCGAGCCCCGCATCCGGCTCTCTGCTCAGCAGGGAGCCTGCTTCCTCCTCTCTCTCTGCCTGCCTCTCTGCCTGCTTGTGATCTCTCTGTCAAATAAATAAATAAAATCTTTTAAAAAAAAACAAAAAAACAAAAAAACCACAAAACATTCTCTTTTCTCCAGCTTATTTTAAGACTATAGTTTATAATACATATAACATACAAAATATGTATTAATGTACTGCTTATGTTATCAGTAAGGCTTCTCATTAAAGGTGGCTATCAGTAGTTAAGATTTTTGGGTAGTCAAAAGTTATACATGAATTTTTTTTTTTTTTTTTTTTTTTAAGAGAGAGAGAGAGACTTCAAGCAGTGGGGAGGGGCAGGAGAGGGAGACAGAGAACCTTAAGCAGGCTCCACGCCCAGAGATCATGGCCTGAGCCAAAATCAGTAGCTGGATGCTTAACCAGTTGAGCTAGCCAGGCACCCTTACACATGAATTTTCTAACAAGCAGGAGGTAAGCAACGCTAGCCCCTCTCCTGTTCAAGGGTCAATTGTGTATATATATGTTTTATATATATGTACATACATATGTACATGTATGTGTAAATATATGTGTACATTTCATTTTTCATATATGTATAAATTTTAAACTAAAAGGCACATCCTATAATGTTCAAAGAATCAATATTCATTATAGTCCAGAACTAGGAGCAACCCAAATGAACAGGAAGGATAAACTGTGGTATATACAAACAATAGTCATAGAAATGTTGGTATACACAACAATATAGATGAATCTCACAAATACAATGCTGAAAGAAACTGGACAAAACAGTAATCCTATATGATTCCATGTATATGAAGTTTGAACATTTTATTATATTAAGCTTAAAATCTATAGTATTAGTAGTATAGTGGTTCGCTTGTTGGAAGGGGGTATCTGGAAAAGACATGAGGACATGATGGATTTTGGAGATACTGGTAATATTAAATAGCTTACTATAGATGTTGGTTACATGGATATTTCACCTTGTGAAAATTCACTGGCTGTATAGTTATAAATTGTGCACTTTTCTCTTTGTATAATTTGGTAGCTCACTTTAAAAAAAAAAGAAGCCTTTCAAAAATTTGAATACCATCTTTTTGTTGTTCTTGTTGTTGTCCCCAAAGATACATTTAGGCAATGCAAACAAAATATAATGTGAAATGAAAACTCTGCTGAAGCCCTACAAGGAGTCTGGAGGTATAATGGAGGATCCTCAGCTATATCTCCATTTCTTATAATCATTTTAAAAATAACTCTATTCATAGAATAAAAGGTAAAGAACTAGACAGTTTAAGTAGGTGATAAATGATAACACGAAAGAACCCCAAATAAATATGATGAAAGGCTAGTCATACTGTCTTTCTAACTAGTCTGTAATGTAACCAGTGGTTAAGATTAAAAAGAAAACAAAAATTTAAAAAAGAAAAAAAAATACAGTACAGCAAAGTTTTATAACCTGCCATTTAAAATGGTAGCCTTACAAATGTATACAAGATATACACTGGCAAAATCAAGCTGTTTTACTAATCAACATTAAAAGTGTTGCAATTGCTCAGTATTTTAAAATACAATGAAGTCAGAAAATTTTTTTTTTAAATTTTACTTACTCAGTGTATTGTGGTCTGTGTGAATAGCTTGTATAACAGATGTTCTGAGCAACAATTCAACATCGGAACCCATTTTTATTAACTGTTAAGAAAACCAAACAGAATAAATCCTTTGGGTATTTTTTCAGTGGTCCTTATGAATGTACTGTTTTTTGAAAACTGTAAGTTTATAGTTATTTCTTTTTGGGTTATACTGCCTTTAACTTTTTGTAACCATTCCAAGCATACAGAAAACTCAGACATGTGTGTACTTTTAACTTTTATCCATCTGTTCCATATTTTGTTCCAAAAGAGATTCAGAATATTTTTTGTTGGAATATATATTTTATATGTTTAAAATGTTGTTTTCTTTGGGAGAGGGTTGAATCTTTCTTTTATAGAGTTGGATGTTCTAAACACTAGAAATAATACTGAACTAGGAGTTGGAATAGCTCTATCATTAAATATAAGGCCTTGGGTTAAAAACCTACTCTCTTTAAGTTTCAGAATTTATCATATGCAAAATAAAGTGGACTAGAACAAAGATTCTCAAAGCTGTGGACTCCTGAAGAGCCTTGAGATCCTTTTAGATACCATGAAGTGAAAATGATTTTCATAATACTAAAGCTTTCTGCACAGAGTTGTGAGAAGTAAAGCTTTCTCCATGGAATACTCTTTTATATGAATGAACAGTAGACAAACTATGATCATTCATACTTGGGTATTTGGCAAACATTTTCTTGAAAATGAACAAGTTGACTCTGTTACTTCAAGAAAACAACTAACTGTATTTGCTGACAATGGTGAAACTCACGTTTTCAAGAAAAAAATAGAATTCTAGGAAAACTGTATCTGCCATCATAAGCTTGACAGTTTTTCAATGCTTATGGATTTTTCTGATTAGATATTAATATTAATAAATATAATTTTAAAATATTACATACTGAATTACATTAACATTTAGAAGATAGGCATTACTTGGTGAACTTCTATTTCCCAAATCAACAGTGCAAGATGTTACAAAATCATGCATGGTAGAAGATCCATTCAAAGAGAAAGGCAGATTAAACCTATTGGTCTACTAAATGAAGGCTTAAGGGCCTGCAGGAGAATAATATCCTAGAAATAGGCAAGCATAAACGCCCTGAGACAGGAAAGTTCTTGGTAAATGCAAATGCCCTCAATGCACTCAGAATGTAAGAATTAAGAAGGACGGAGGGACCTGAGTGGGAAGTCGACAGATGTCAGATTATACAGTCTTATAGTTCACAGTAAAGACTTTAGATTTTGCTTTGGGATGAGAAGCTATGGGGTTTGTGAATACAGGAGTGATGGGATATATCTTTTTATTTAAAAGTTTCAATCTGGGGCGCCAGTGGGTTAAAGCCTCTACCTTCGACTCAGGTCATGATCCCAGGGTCCTGGGATCGAGCCCCACATCGAGTTCCTGTTCAGTGGGGAGCCTGCTTCCTCCTCTCTCTCTCTGCCTGCCTCTCTGCTACTTGTGATCTCTGTCTGTCAAATAAATAAAATCTTGAAAAAAAAAAAAAGGCTCAATCTGCCTTTAAAGGTATTGAGAATAGACTGTAGGGAGGTTAGGGAGGAAGCAGTGAGACCCACTAGGAGGCTGTTGTAACAATCAAGTGAAAGATGATGGTGGCTTGAAGTAGGAGGTAATGATGGGGAGGATGAGCAGTGGTTGAATTCCAGATATATTCTGAAGTCAAAAAAATTGGTTGACAGGTTGGATATAAGTGTGAGAAAAAGACAGCAATTAAGAAAGGGAGCACCAAGTTTTTTGGTCTGAGCAATAAAAGATGGGAGCTGCCATTAATAGACATAGAGAAGGCGTGGAAGAGCAAAGTCTCAACTCCTAACAGATCTGAGAAGGGATTTAGCAGGAGAAAGAAAGAATAAAAATGGGTCCCCTCATCCACTGGAAGTACTTAAACCTTAGACTCATAGGTCTAAGGCAGGAAACAAGCTTTGATGAATAATAAGGGATAAGGAGAAATCAGAAAGGATGAGCAGGAGGTGGTCTGTATGAATCCTGGAGGCTCCCCACCCCCCCAACCAAAAAATCTATCTATCTCCTTACTTACCTATCTACCTCTTTCCACCCACTGGTCTAACAGATAACAGAGTTTCACAATGCAACTAACCTTTAAGGAAGTTTACTATTTGTTGAGGTGTAGTATAAAAGAATATTCACAATTTTTTTTTTAAAGATTTTATTTATTTATTTGACAGATAGAGATCACAAGTAGGCAGAGAGGCAGGCAGAGAGAGGAGGAAGCAGGCTCCCTGCCGAGCAGAGAGCCCGATGTGGGCTCGATCCCAGGACTCTGGGATCATGACCCGAGCCGAAGGTAGACGCTAAACCACTGAGCCACCCAGGCGCCCCATATTCACAACTTATTTGAAAAGACTATTATATACTCCTACTCTTTTCCAACTACTTATCTGTGCGAGGCTGAATTTTCGTCATATATTTTAACCTAAAATACACTGCACTAGATTGAATGAGGAAGCAGATAGGAGAATTGAACTGCTTTCTATTAAGCCAGACTTTAAAGAGATTTGCAAAATGGTAAAAGAGTGCTCACTCTTCTTACTAAATGTCCTGAAAATAGTTATTTTCCATAAACAGTGTATTTGTTACCATGTAATGAGCTTATTATTTTTAGACAAAAAATACATATTTCAAAAATCTCTTAATTTCAATTCCTACTAAGGAAAATATTTAAAGTCACACCACATGAAATGCACTTTCTGGGGTCCTCAACTTTTAAGAAGGCAAACGGTCTTGAGACTAAACAGTTTGAGAACTGCTGGTATAAAAGATACCTGGGGCGCCTGGGTGGCTCAGTGGGTTAAAGCCTCTGCCTTCAGCTTGGGTCATGGGATCAAGCCCTGCATCGGGCTCTCTGCTCAGCAGGGAGCCTGCTTCCCCTTCTCTCTCTACCTGTCTCTCTGCCTACTTGTGATCTCTGTCTGTCAAATAAATAAAAAAATCTTGAAGGAGGAAAAAAAAAGATGCCTAAGATTCTTTTTGGTGCCAAGACTTCATGAACCTTACAATACCTAACAATGGAATTAACTAAAAACTACTAAATATTTAATCTATGCAGAATTATACAAAATATACATTTGCATATAACAAATGTCATTTCTAGACTGCTTTATGTTAAATTAGTGCTTTACAAGTAAAAGGAATTTAGAAGATTGTAGTTCATTTCCCAGTTGATATAAAGACATGCCAATTTAAAAAATTTTATGATTTCTAAATTTAAAAATAATTACCATATTGTTATTAATCAGCCTACTGAACAGCAAATAATGCAAACTTTTGTATACATCTTGTAACTTCTCTTCAAGTTATGACTTGATTATGATGTCATCTTAACTTCTGCCATGAATAAAAACTACATGGTCCCTATTTGCCCTACCAGATTGTTAAATGAAATCTTTTCCTTTCTTCTTTATATCAGAGGAATAAAAACATTTAGGATATCTCATTTTAACTCATTAACTTGATTATTACAGATATTTACTATTCTAAAAACAGCATTTTTCTCTACTAAAAATAAATGTATTTTTAAAAAATATTTTATTTATTTTTTTGACAGAGAGATCACAAGTAGGCAGAGCAGCAGGCAGAGCGAGAGGGGGAAGCAGGCTCTCCATTGAGCAGGGAGCTTGATGTGGGGCTTGATCCCAGGACACCGAGATCATGACCTGAGCCGGAAGCAGAGGCTTAACCCACTGAGTCACCCAGGCGCTCCAAAATAAATGTATTTTTATAAAAAAAATTTGTCATGTAGAAATTTTATTAAACATTGAAGATTTTCTCTAATTTGTAGCTTTCTCCTTATCAAACCAATTCTTGGAATTCTAACTGCCCCTGCAAATAATTTTCCATTTTTTGTTTTCCTCCTAAGGGTCCTTTCCCTACATTCATATGAAGTTAGATACAGAAACACTTAGGAGGCTCAAAATAGAGACAATATGTATGTATATGCAGTATGATTTTATACAAAAAAGGAATTGTGCATTTTTTTAAATGAACAGGTACTGGGAGTATTAAGAAGCTCACAGATCAGTGTCAGTAGACTGACTGCCTTCAACTAGAGCAAGTGACCAAAAGGCGAAGCAAGAATAGTTCACAAATTGTGGCTGATTAACTTTCACTGCTGAGTTAGGAATTAAAAAAAAAAGCTAGTCTACTTGAGCTAAATGAACAGAAATTCCTTCTGTAGTTCTAATACTCATCCTCCTTAGGTTTACTCATTTGCCTTACGTAAAGATAGAATTTCTGTGGATTTCTGGGTTGGTTCAACTGTTCTTGCTTTGACCATAGCTACATCCATGTTCTATACACTGGCAACTTGCTGTCTTAGGGGTGTAGAGGATGACCTTGAAGAGGTGAGCCATACCAAACAAGTGAAGGTTACCTATAATTATAATGCCTTCAACTATCAAGTAATAATTTTTATTTCATATACCCCCTCTATTTTCATCATTCTCTAAGAAAATGTATAAGGTCTTTATCATAATTGAAAGACTCAATTACTATACCTCTTCTATTTTCTTGGGAGAAGTTTCACTTTTATTACTTTTGAATTCTTCATTTATCTTTATTCTGGCTGCTAGAGAAAGAAAAAAATATATATATAAATATTTCTCTTCTAATTTATAATTCCTGCCCCAAGAATTTATATGTTATTCATTATGAATGACTACTTCTCTAGTAGTCAAAATAGTTTTGCCTCATGTGAAACTAATTATAAAAATAAGACTTTTTTTTTTAAACTGTCCTGGAAACCTTTTGACAGGCTGGTAAATTTTTAATTAAACCTAATACACTCTAATATATTAATACTTTCATTTATTGCTCTATATCTCCAATTCATTTGCATATTTCTAGCTATCAGATTCTAGTGAATCCCATTTAACATTTTTTTCTATGAATCTGAAAATTTAAAATGCTTTAAGATGGCAAAACTCAATACATACAAACATGTTAAACCACACACACACACACACACACACACACACTAAAGACAAAGGACCAAAATAGACATAAAAATGGTTTGGCTGGCACTTTGTCATCATTATAACATAATTTTAGTCTAATCTGACAACTGCCTTATTTTTTTGAGCATGTAAAGGAACAACCCACGTAAAGTGCTTAGTAACTACACAATGTTAGCTGTTCTTATGTCACTTAATAACACTTAAAGTCTGTTGATGGAGAACAGCCAGAAAACCCTCCTTCTATGCTTTATATATTTCAATATAAGGTGCTGAAGATTTGGGATTTAGAGTCAAACTGCTTAGGCTAAATCCCAGCTCTACCTCTCACTAGTATGATATGGGTCAAATCCTTTCACATTTTGTCAGTTTTCTCATTGGAAAAAATAAATTGTAACAGTAACCACCCCACAGGGATATATGAAGAATTATATGATTTGGTAGAGCATATACAATATGAAGTATGTACTTTAATATTCAAGAAATTATTCTTGGTAAATTACAAAAACTTGAATTCCTAGGGACAGTGGGGATACTACCAAGGTGCCCTCTTAAAGAGTTTTAGTGATATATGAAAACAGATATTGCACATGACCAATACCTAACCTAAGCTTCAGAACTCTGACTTCTAGATACAATTAAAGCCACTTAAAACAGTGAAACACTAAATTTGTAAAAGATCTGGGACAGATTCTCTTTCACAGCTGGTATCACTTCTACAATGGCACAAGGAATTAAAAATATGGAAGTATCTGTTCCTAGGGAGTATGAAAATGTGATTATATAATAGAAATAAGTTTAATGGCTTGACAAGCAATGGAGTGTGCTGAATTTTTGATCTTTTCTGGTTCTTTATAAACACTAGATATTAAAAATATTTAAGTAGATACTCCTCAAAGTAGTATAATATAAACTAATGTTCATAAAACATAACAACATTAGGGGAGAGATACAAAGATCACTCTCCAAGCTGGGTCTTGACTATACCAGTTCTCTTGGATATGTGAAGAGATGATTTACTCCAAAGTGGTGAAAATAAACCTACCTTCTAATGCTCTGGTATCATTTTTAAAAACCCGTTGTCTGGTCCTGTGTAATGTTTTAAAGAGCTGTAAAACCTTAAAAAAAAAAAAATTAGAATTCAGACCTCAAAAAAAAAAATGTACATTTTATATAATTAAAAGGATTACAAAGTATTTTACCATTTGTTACTTTGATTATTTTTCAAAATAGCTGGTGAAAACCAGGGTTTGCCAAAATAACTTTCCCTTCTTAATTTATCTTTAAATTAAAAAATAATTATATTTACAAAAATACCAAGTTCTTTTTTTTTTTTTTTTGAAGATTTTATTTATTTATTTGATAGAGATCACAAGTAGGCAGAGAGGCAGACAGAGAGAGAGAGGGAAGCAGGCTCCCTCCCAAGCAGAGAGCCTGATGTGGGGCTCAATCCCAGGACCCTGAGATCACGACCCAAGCTGAAGGCAGAGGCCCAACCCACTGAGCCACCCAGGTGCCCTAAAAATACCAAGTTCTTTGGGAAAAAACCAAGTATGGTTAAAAAGTTAATAATCCCCCTGCCAAAACCAGTCTGCTAGAGTAACTTTATTAGTCTGGTATGTATTTGATCTCACTTTTCTTACCATATTGAGACCTTCAACTGCTTTTAAAGTTTTACACACGTTTATACAAACTCATGGACTTACTACATCTTAAGAGAGCCCAGAAGGAAGATGTTTCAGATAATTTAGGAAAGTATAATTGTGATTTCCCAAAGAGAAGTGGAACGCTGAGACTTATGAATATTCTAAGACTATGTTAAAAAAACAGAGAGAAGAGCCTGACATTTTGGTAGAAGACAGATTGTGTAGAGGCCTTAGTGTGAGGCCAAGCCTACCTCACACTTCTCAAGTTTAAAAACGTACTCAGTATTGATCACCCAATATTGTTTTTTCTCCTGTCTTTTCAATTTCAGAAACAGAAGACACTGAGTTTCTCAAGCTGGAAATCTCTAGGCAATTCTTTTAATCTATATTATTCTTCATGTGAAAGTTTTAGGAATGTCTCTCTAATGTTTTGATATTCTCCATTCCTGAAAATTATTTAAATTCAGACCCTCCCATCTCTTGCTTAGACTACTTAGACACTCTGCCACTATTCCCTCCAATTCATTCACTAGATAAAATATCTAATATTTATTTACTAAGTATACTCTGTGTGCTAAGCATTGTTTTAGGTATTTACATATATTAGAAAACCTATAACATCAAAGGCAGACACCAAAGCAGAAACAGGAAACATGAAGCAAAACCCATAAAAATACAACAAAACAAAAACCAACAACCACAATGAACTTCTTCAGAAACTTAAGTGACTGCAAAGATGGAATAACAACAAAAAGAAGTCACAGTAAATTAAAAAAGGAACATTCAGAAAATGCCGAAGGTGCTCAGGTAACAAATGAGTGATAGCAAATATTAAGGGTAGAAAAACAGCCGAGAAGTAAAATAAAAACTCAGAAATTGAGGAGAGAAAACACAATTAAGGGAGTACTCTAAGTGAACCAACGATTACATTAACAGGATTTCCAGGGGTGCCTGGGTGGCTCGGTGGGTTAAAGCCTCTGCCTTCGGCTTGGGTCATGATCTCAGGGTTCTGGGATTGAGACCCCGCATCAGGCTCTCTCCTCAGCAGGGAGCCTGCTTCCTCCTCTCTCTCTGCCTGCCTCTCTGCCTACTTGTGGTCTCTGTCTGTCAAATAAATAAATATAATCTTTAAAAAACAAAATCAAAAACAAAAAACCCAGGATTTCCAACAAGAAAGAACAGAGGGGCACCTGGGTCCCTTAGTTGGTTAAGTGTCTGACTATTAATTTTGGCTCAGGTCATGATCTCAGGGCCCTGGGACGAAGCCCTGCATCAGCCTCTGCACTTGGTGTGGAGTCTGCTTAAGATTCTCTCTCAACCTCTCTCCATCGCTCTCTCTCAAACAAATAAATCTTTAAAAAAAGGGCAGAGAAAACAGACAAAATAAATTAAAAAGGGGAAAAATTAAGAAAATGTCACCAAGTAAGGTTAATCAGTTACTTGATTGAAAAAGCTCCAAGTGCCCAACACAAAACCCATACCATAGTACATCATGATATAGGTTCAGAACAATGCTAATAAAAAAAATTTCAAAGATAAACAGTTCACATAAAAAGGATAGAAAATCAGAATGACACCTGACTTCTAAACAGTATTACTGTGAGAAGACAATGGTGTAAGATTTTCAAGTTTAAAAAAAAATGTCCAGAGCAATTCTCTCTGGTCCCCTCCCTCTTTAGGAGCTTTGTACTATCACTTTACTATCACTTAATGAACTTTGCTGCCCACCAAAAAAAATAAAAAATAAAAGTCCAGCTTAGAATACCTACATAGGGGCACCTGGGTGGCTCAGTGAGTTAAAGCCTCTGCTTCAGCTCAGGTCGTGATCCCGGGGTCCTGGGATTTGTGCCCTGCATGCTCTCTGCTCAATGGGGAGCCTGCTTCCTCCTCTCTCTCTCTGCCTGCCTCTCTGTCTACCTGTGATCTCTGTCAAATAAATAAATAAAATCTTAAAAAAAAAAAAAAAAGAATACCATACATAGCCAGATTATCATTTAACTGCAAAGGCAAAGAGATATTTTGAAAATACAACGTATCTTATCTGCCATATCCTTCCTTGTAAAGCTATAAAAGAGTGTGCTCCACAACAAGGGAATGAACTATAAAAGAAAAACATGGGAACCAGTGAGAAGGGTGAACCAACACAAAGAAGGTGAAGGACAAATACAGGTCAGCATCTGTGTGGCTGGCCCACAAAGCAACTAGTCTAGACTACAGCAGAAGTTTGAACTACTCCAGAAAAAATGTTCTCAGGAAAAAATCAAACTGATAACTGATTTTGGGAACAGGTAAGTAGGAAACTAACCAATGACAAAAACACTGTTATTAATTTCAAGAAAAACACAATTAGAAAAGAAAAGCAATGTAATCATATATTAGAAGACTCCGCTGTGGACATTTTTATACAGTCACAGTAACTTAAAAAAAATGAAAACTAATTCACCAAAATTTGTAAATGAGAGGACTAAGTTATAAATGGGGAGCTTAGTCATCAACTTGTATTGTTAAAAGTCAGTAAACAGTATCTCTCAAAAGAAAAAAAAATGAATAGCAGTTTAAATATATTCTTTAGAAACAGGGAGGTAAATGTAAGAATAGCTAAAATGATTAAAAGCACTTATCCCTGGGGAGCAGAATTGGGAGTATGTAGAAGGAAGTATACACCTATTGGTTTCTGTTTATAACACTTCGATATTTTAAACCTTACACATTTATCAGCTTCATGAAAACTTAAAAAAAAAAATTGCTTTAGAAAGAGAAAGGGAAAAGACATCATCAGAAAAGAGAAAAGACAAGCCCTAACCAGAAGAAAATATTTCCAAACCATATTATGTGGTAAGGGGCTGTTATCTGGAACATTTAAAGAACTTTTACAACTCTACAATAAAAACATAGAAAAAGGATTTCAATAGACATTTCTCTAAAGATAGACAAATGGTCATCGAGGCCATAAAAAGACGCTCAATATGATTTGGCATCTGGGAAATAGAAATCTAAATCTCAGTGAAGTACACTTAAGCCAAGCAGAATGGCTGTAACGAAAAAGAAAATCAGTAAGGAGTATTGGCAAGAACGTGGGGGAAACTGAAACTCTTATACATTACTGGTGGGAATGTAAAATGTTGTAACTTGTTTGGAAAACAGTTTGCCAGTTGCTCAAAAAGTTAAACATAATGTTATCACCTGATCTAGCAATTTGACACTTAGATACATAGCCGACAGAAATGAAAACATAGATTTACACAAAAACTTGGACATAAACGATCATAGCAGCACTATTCACAACAGTCAAAAAGGAGAAATGACTCAAACTTCTATCAATTCATAAACACGTAAATAAAATGTGGTAGATCCATAGTGTTATAGCTTGAATTGTGTTCCTCCAAAGGACATACTTAAGTCTTAATTCCTAGTACTTGTAAAATGCGACTTTATTTGGAAATAGGGTCTTTGCAGATGAATTAAGTTAAGATGAGGTCATTAAAGTGGGCTATAATACAATATGACTGGTATCCTTAAAAGGAGGAGGAAATGCCATGTGAACAGAGACACACAGAATGCCATGTGAAGATGGAGGCAGAGATCAGAGTGATCCAAGAGTAAGCCAACAAGCCAATGAACATCAAGGATTGATAGCTAGCATCAATACATCAAATAGAAGTAAAGATTCTACCCAGTTTCAGAGGAAGCATGGCCCTGCTGGCACCTTCATTTCAGACTTCTAGCTCCAGAATTGTGGAGACAATATCTTTGTTTTGCTTTAAGCCACCTAGTTTGTGGTACATTGTTACAACAGCCATAGGAAACTAATATAGATGTTAATATTCGGAAGTGGGGTACTGCTATAATGAGTACCCAAAAATATGGAAGTGGCTTTGGAATTGAAATGTGTAGAGACTGAAAGAATTTTGAGACTGCCTTGAAAAGATTGTAGAAATATGGACTTCAAAGGTAATAGAATATCATATTAATATTACAAGAGTGGTAGAAGACAAGTTACATGGGATTAAAAGTAAAGTGGAAAGTTAAGTAAATCTAATCATTTTACGTGTTTCTCCAGGGAAAAAAGTAATTTCATTAACAAAACAGCCAGCATCCCTAATTTAAGAACTAGTGTACACAAAAATAAATTCAAAATGGATTAAGGACCTTAATATGAAACATGATACCATGAAAATCCTAGAAGAGAACACAGGCAGTCACCTCTTTTACATTAGCTGTAGCAACTTCTAGATATGTCTCCTGAGTCAAGGGAAACAAAAGTATAATTAAACAATTGGGAGTACATCACAAAAGCTTTTGCACAGCAAAGGAAACAATCAACAAAACTAAAAGGCAGCCTACAGAATGGAAGAAGATATTTGCAAATGACATATCTGATAAAGGTGTAGTACTCAAAATATACGAAGAACTTAAAAAACTCAACACCCATAAAATGAATAATCCAGTTAAAAAAAAGGGTAGACAACATGAATAGACATCTTTCCAAAGAAGATATACAGATAGGCAACAAACACATGAAAAGACGCTCAACATTACTCATCAGAGAAATGCAAATCAAAACTACAAGAGATACCACCTCATACCTATCAGAATGGCTAAACTCAAAAACACAAGAAATAACAGATATTGGTGAGGATGTGGAAGAGGAACCCTCTTGCACTGCTGGTGGGAATGCAAAGTGGTATAGCCACTCTGGAAAACAGTGTGGAGGTTCCTTAAAAAGTTAAAAATAGAATTATCCTATGATCCAGCAACTGCAATACTAGGTATTTACCCACAGAATACAAAAATATTAATTCAAAGGGTTATATGCATCCTGATGTTTACAGCAAAATTACTTACAATAGCAAAATTATGGAAACAGCTCAAATGTCCATTGACTGATGAATGGATAAAGAAGTGACATAAATATACAATGGAGTATTGCTCAGCCATAAAAAGAATGAAATCTTGCCATTTGCAATGATGTGGATGGAGCCAGAAAGTATTATGCTAAGCAAAATAAAACACAGAAAGACAAATACCATATGATTTCACTCATATGTGGGATTTAAGAAGCAAAAAAATTAGGAAAGGGGGGAAAAAAAGGGAGAAGCAAACTAAGAAAGAGACTCTTCAACTATAAGGAACAAACTAATGGTTACCAGAGTGGGGATGAATTAAATAGGTGATAGGGATTAAGGATTGCAGGTGTTGTATGGAAGTGTTGAATCACTATAGTATACACCTGAAACTAATATTACACTGTAGGTTAACTGGCATTTAAATAAAAACTTAAAACAAGAGAACTAGTATAAGAAAAAGAAAATGTCATCAATACTGTCTTGGAGCTATAAGAGCTAAAATCACCTTGGAGTTAATAAATTTTTATTAAATGCAGAAAGTAAGGTCACAGATGATCTTCTCTTCCTCATTTACTTATACTAATTGGATAATTTAGGTAATGCATTTGGAAAGCGGATTCTCTACAGATCAGTTGGAACAGGACACTGCCACTCATTGTAAGCACAGACAAGTTACTCAGGCTTTTTGACTCAATTTTCTTACATAATGGGTTAATATTAGGGGTGTATGGGAAAATTTCTGAACTAGGTTTCACTTTAGATAGTTATTACTTTTCTATCTCTTCTAAGTCTGGGTTACATGCCCTTCCTGAGTACATCCACAGCATTGGGCATTTACTTCATAGTATGTGAATCAAATACATATTTGCTGTGGTCCCATACCTCCTCAAAGGCTATGTGTCCTTTACACTTACCATAAGTATCTTCTATACATAGTAGGGCTCCCCAAAAGTGTTTCTGGAATAAATCTTATTTAATTACTTTTGAATTCAAGTTTTCCAAGCAACATTCCACTTCAAGGACTTTCCATATACTTTTTCCTCTTTCTGAAATATTCTTTTCCTCTCTTCTTCTAGCTAATTTTTTCTTTTTAAAATATTTTATTTATTTATTTCAGAGAGAGCGCGGGCATGCACAAGCAGTGGGACTGGCAGAGAGAGGGAGAAGAAGCAGGCTCCCTGCAGAGCCAGGGGACTGCGATGTAGCACTCGAATCCAGGACCCTGGGATCATGACCTGAGCAGATGGCAGCGGCTTAACCAACTGAGCCATCCAGGTACCCTCTTCTAGCTAATTTCTAATCAAACTTCAGGTCTTAACTTTCAATTCTATGAAAGACTTTTTTTTTTTTTTTTTTTTTTTTTAAATAGGCTTCATGCCCAGTGTGGTGCCCAACCACAGGGCTCCAACTCAACATACTGACATCAAGGCCTAAGCTGAGATAAAAGCAGGATGCTCAACTGACTCAGCGACCCAGACATCCCAAGATATTATTATTATTTTTTTTTGCATCCCTCCAAATCCCAGCTATAAGCTCACAAAATACACTGTATTTTCAATTCGAAATCCCCTCCCTGCTAAATTTCTTTATGACGTCAAAGGTGGTCTGCTTATCGTTGCATCCACTATGCCTAGACAGTTCAGGCTAAATGTTGGCTGTCAGGTATTACTGATAGCTATTATAGACACTCAATAAATTAGCTGAATAACTCTTTACAATTGTTTCTACTGATGCTATGACATATACTAAAATGTACTGAGAACACCAAAGTCAGTCGTACAGGAGGCACCACTTGGTGGTGCCTTATTACTGACCAATCACAAACACTGCTTTTCCTCACTCTACTGTAACAGGCCGTTTCCCCGCTTCCATGCTTATACTGCAGCCAGTGACAGAGACTAGGGATGGCTAGCCTAAGAAGTGTGCGCCAGCCAGGAACGTGCATCAGTTTGACAAGAAGTCAATCGGACACCAGGTCCTCAGGGAAGCACCCGGCGGGACCATCACCTCCCAAGCTTATTCCGAGCACTCAGGTCTCGTGGGTCTCTGCTCTGTCTCCGTTGGTGTTGATTTTTGGCAAGGGATTCCGCCACGATTCAGTTTCTTCGGCTGCAATACTTTGGGGGTACCTTCCGGTTACCTGACTAAACTCCACCTCGTCGGATCTTTCACTCAGTAGATGGTTCCAGTCAGAGCTGCCTTTGGCGTCTCGTCTACCTCTCAACGATGTGAAAAAGGTCCCTCAAACATTCGGTGTGGGGATGAAACGGGGGCAGAAACTTGCATGATGTACGAACAAACACTTTGGTACCCCATGAGAGAAGTGGGGAAACGGTGCGACCCTCCCTCCTCGCACCAGCACAAATCCTCCACAGTCCTTCGCAGGTGGTCACTGGGCTCCTCAGGGGCAAAGTTCACGAGCTCCGTGAAGGGTTCTGAACCCACACCTATACTGAAATTCCAGACAACCTGCAAAAGGCAGCTCGTTTTCCCTCCCCGTAGGCAACAAACCCAAACCCTCCCTGGGCCCTGTCACCTTGGTCGCCTGACCCATGTCTCTCCTCACCGCGGCGCACACAGCTCCCGCGATCGAGTCGCCCCCGCCTCTCGGCAGCCAATCACTGCCCGCGTGGACTATCCAACTCCCCAAAGTCACGTTCCTAATGTGACGCAACCAATCACCGCTCAGATTCCCCTTTGTAGCCCCGCCTTCCACAGTGAGACACTGGAGACAAGATTGCTAAATGGCTGCAGCCGGGTTACGACCGGGAGAAGCTGCCGAGCCCAAATACCAGAGAGGAGGAGAACGGAAATTACCTGGACGCCATGTTAGTTGGGGGCAAAGTCACTTCCGGTCTCTTCTGAGACAGTGAGGTGGCGGAGGGTGGGTTATTTATGGGATGGCTTCGATGTTCTCTACGTTATTACTTCTTGCTTGGACGTTGGGGTTATGTAATAAAGAACCTTTATGTTAATGATTCCCAATCGCGACTGTCTCCTTGTGAAAGTGCGTAAGAGCCAAGTCCTAACAAATATAGCTGCTGTTGATAGGAATTCTGGCTTCCCAAAGCGCTATTTGTACATTCTCTCAATTAATTCCCAGAAAAGGCGAGGCAGAGTTACTTTGCTCAAGACCACAGGCTAGAGGGGGTGCCTGGTGACTCAGTCTGTTACACTGACAACCCTTGATTTCAGTTTAGGTCTTGATCTCTGGGTAGTGAGATTGAACCTCTCCCCTCCCTTCTGCTCTACCCTCAGCTGAGTATTTTCTTTCATCCCTCTCCCTCTGCCCCTCCCCTTGCTCAGGTGCTCCCCTGCACACTTTCTCTAAAATAAATGATTCTTAAAACAAAACGAAACAAAAAAACATTCTGCTGGTAAATAAAGGTCTGGGACACAAATCCCTATGCCCGACCTAGTCTTACCCTCTGCACATCCTGCTCACTCACCTTACCCTACTCTTTGGTTTTGCTGGTCAAGCTGACAAAAATGTTATTTAAGTACATTTTAATTTAGGACCTTGTAAACTTCAAGAAAAATCTCAACCTTTCCCTCATCGCATAATCGTTGTTTGCCTTCCTTATGTCACAGCCTTTCAGGTTAATTTTCAGGTAAAATTTCTTTTTAGTAGGAATGAACGATTTGAAGCAAAAGATGTTAAAGAGTTTTTTCCTCCTCTGTGATTTATGTCATTTTAAAAATATTGCAAGTCATCAGACTAGCAAGATAATAGTTGCCTTCTTAAATTATAACTCATTAGATTTGCAGATGAATGTTTAACATAACCAAGCAGTTAAACCAAATATACTCGGTACTGTCTTTTATATAGGAAACAATAGATGATCTTGTGACATTGCATGATGGTGCCCTCTAATTTTTTAAGAATGATCCAAAACATACTTATTTTCATTCCCAGCTTAGAATCATTGCCCAATTTCCTGAAAATTCATAGTTTATTGTTATAATTTCAGGCTAACTAGGGTCCTGTATTCAGTTAACCAAAACCCCGTATCTGCCAATACTCGAAAATAAAGTTCTCACAGGGCCAAAATCAGTTCAGTACTGGAGCTTCTCTTCTTTTAGATAAATCTGTATGGTTCTTTCAGCTGTTCCATAAATGAGGTAGTAATTTTGGTTATTCTAGGAATATGTCCTGGTTTGTTAACATCTCAAAAGTGTCAGATCAGAACTAAACAAGAATTCCAATTTATTCCTCAAATAAGTTCATGGAGCTATAAGTAGGCAGAATAAAGGCCTCCAAAGATGTCCTTGTTTAAATCCTAGGAATTTTTGAATATGTTACCTTATATGACAAAAAGGACTTTGCAGATGTGATTAAATTAAGGCTTTTGAGATGGGAAAATTTTGAGATGGATTGTCTGGTGGGCCCAATGTAATCACAACGATCCTTATAAGTGGAAGAAGGAAGCAGAGTCAGGGAGAGGTTTGAAGATGCCCTGCTGCTGGTTCTGAAGATAGAGGAAGGGGCCTCAACCCAAGAAATGCAGGTAGCTTCTAGAAGGTAAGGTAAGGGAAATGTTCTTCCCTAGAGCCTCTAGAAGGAATGCAGCCCTATTAACACATGATTTCAGCCCACTGAAATTCAGACTTCTGACTTCCAGAACATTACCCGTTTGTGGTCCCTTCCATCTTAAAAGCCAACAGTAGAGGATCTTCAATCTTTGTCACCTCTCCTTCCATCATCATATCTCCTCCTGTCCCTCTTTCACTTACAAGGCCTCCATGACTATATTTGCCCTATCTGGACAATTCAGGAATCTCACCCATCAGAAGATCCTTAATTTAATGACATCTGGAAATCCCTTTTACCATGTAAAGTAACATAATCATAGGCTCCAGAGATTAGGACATGGGCATCTTCTGCCTACCATATCCAGTTTAGTTGAAGCTGGTCAATAAGGTTGAAATGAAAGGAAATGAAGTAGGAGAAGCAGCCATGGGCCTGATCATGAAAGAACCCTAGAGTCCAAGGTAAGGATTAATTTCGTGATGAAATACCTTACCAGCAGTAGAGTGAGATCATAATTTATATTTTGTAAAAATCACTGTGTGCTGAATAGCAAATTGACTACAATGGAAGCAGAACTTAACTAGGAGGCTTTCAAAGTACTCCAGGCAAAATATGACAGTGGCTTGGATTAGGGTGGTGTAGTAGAAGAGGTGAAAAAATGATTGGATTCATGATCTGTATTGCCAAGAATAAGAGAGAAGAGTTAGGATGATTTCATGGCTTTTGACTTGTGCAACTTGGTGAATGGTATTATGGTAGATGTAGAATGCTGCAGCACTAGGATTCCCCAAATGTTAACAGTTGACCACAATTACTTTATCCTTTTCTATCTCTCTATACATGAACATTTTCTTTGTATTTCTTTACTGTTTGAAAATGAGATGCTGACATGATACTCACTCCCATACTCCTAAATACTTTGGTTTTTTAAATTCTTTAAAAAAAAAAAAAAAGAGTCTCTTACATCAGTGGGCCTCAAAGTACGATTCCAGGGCAACCAGCAAATGCATCACTTGGAAACCTGTTAGAAACCTAAATTATAAGACCCCACCCCAGATAAACTAATTTTGATAATTTTGCTGTGGTTATCTGAGAAAATTAACACAACTTTCAAAGCTACTATCTAATTGATAGGCATTATTTAGATTTTGCCAATTGTCCTAGTAATGTCTTTGACAGCAACAGTAGCAAACGAGTCACTTTTGAGACTCAAGGGATCCACTATCAATAATTTTCATTGGCAGAGGACAGGACAAGACAAACTAGTAAACATTCTCATATAGGATAGTCCTGGAGCTATAGTTAATTTTTCCTAGTAAGGGCATGTGGAAATTAAATGTTAGCTAGAGAAGAAGGCCAAGAATGGAACCCATTGAGAAGTCTGGAACTGGACGCTTACTGTGAAGGAGATATAGCATTCAAAGCGGTATAGGAGACAAGACCACGAGAGCGAAAACTATTATTGAAAAGAGGAAATGGGGGCGCCTGAGTGGCTCAGATCATGATCCCAGGGACCTGGGTTCTAGCCCCGCATCGGGCTCCCTGCCCGGTGGGAAGCCTGATTCTCCCTCTCCCACTCCCCCTGCTTGTGTTCCCTCTCTTACTGTGTCTCTCTCTGTCAAATAAATAAAATCTTCAAGGAAAAAAAAAAAAAAAAAGAAAGAAGGAAATGATCAACAATAGGAAATAATGCCAAGAGGTCTACTAAGATAAGGAATGGAAATGTTCACAGAATTTTGTAAGTGGAGGTCCTTAACAACATTGACAAGAGGGAAATGAGTTTAAAAAAAGATGAGAAAGTAGACACAGAATAAATAAAAGTTTTAAAAAGCAGCAAAGATATGAAGGGGTATGTCAAGGAAGGTGTTCTTCCTTTAAGGTGGGACATGTTACGTTATGCGGATTACTTCCGGGAAGAAGTCTTAGTTGCCCAGTGGAGGGAGATTTACAAAGTCGGATTGCCTGGGTCCCTACCCTGGAGTCTGATTTAATGGATCAAGAGTTTGGCCAGGTTCAAGAGGATTTTTCAAAAGTTCCCCAAGTGATTTTAATGTGCAGTGAGAACCACTGCTAGAGGGAGAAAAACCCTGGTACAAGGAGGGCTTACATACTGTAATCAAGACCTTTTGCAGCTGAGAAATTGTTAGGGTGTCTCAGACAGCAAACACGACCAGCACTGCCCGGATTATCAAATCTTCAAGTTACAGTATCTAATTATTCCCACAAGGGTCCATAAAGCAAGTGAAGAAGGACGTATACAGTAACTCCACTCCCCAAGACACACTAAAGAAAGAAAGAGGAAAAAAAAAAAAAAAAGACCTCGGCGTTGCTCTCTAGAGTCTCAATCAGGAACCTCTCTTCCACCGGGTTTCCTCCGCGGTTCTTGGAAGCTCCCGCGCACTCTCTCCGCTTTGAGCGCAGATCGCCAGTGCGCACGCGCAAGGCCAGCCCGGACGCCCGAGCAGCGGTCCCCGCGCAGGCTTGGCTGTGCACGCCCGCCCTCTGCCCGCTGTCCCGGCTCCTCCCTCCTCTCGAGCTTCTGCCCGGGGCGGCCGCGCGGGAGGGAGGCCGAGATGGCAGATGAGATCGCCAAGGCTCAGGCCGCGCGGCCTGGTGGCGACACAATCTTCGGGAAGATCATTCGCAAGGAAATCCCAGCCAAAATCATTTTTGAGGATGACCAGGTAGACACGGGACGTGGCCTCCCTGGAGGGCTGAGGCAAGGGCAGTCTCCCTTGAACACGCGGCTTTCCCGCGGCCGAAAGGGGAAGGATCGGTCGGCGACGCGAAGGGAAGGGACTGGGCCGCCCCGCGGGGCCTCTGCCGCGGGCCCCCAGCCAGCGGGCAGGGCCGCGGCCGCTCCGAGGCCGCCTGCCGGCGCGTGCCGGCGCTCCGGTTACGTGTTATCAGCCCGGGGCGTGGGTCAGGCTGCCGGGCGCCTGCGGGGCCAACACTGCGGGGTCCAGGCGCGTGTGGGGGACGTGCTGGCTGCTTGGCGTGGGCGCCCCCCGGCTCCGCGTCTGCCTCGGACCTCGCCCGTGTCAGGAATCTTACAATCTCGCCA